AACACACACACACACACACACACACACACACACACACACACACACACACACACACACACACACACACACACACACACACACACACACACACACACAACAACACACACACACACACACACACACACACAAAAACACACACACACAACAACACACACACACACACACACACAAAAACACACACACAACAACACACACACACACACACACACACACACACACACACACACACACACACACACACACACACACACACACACACGACACACACACGACACACACACCCACCCACACCCACACCACACACACACCACACACACACACACACACCACACACACACACCCACACCCCACACACACCCACACCCCACACCACACCCACACCACACACACACACACACACACACACACACACACGCATGTGCTGAATTCAATGGCTGACATCGGCCTCGAGCTTTCCTGCAAGCATCGGTCAGGTCCCCAGCGACGGGGACGGTTTTGGCGAAGACAGATGAGCCGGTCAGCACCACCAACAGGGCGTGGCTCGCCCCGGTGGTCAAGCCAATCAAGGCTCCGTTGGCGACCTAGCAGGAGAAACAAGTGAGGAGGCAAGGCATGGCCCGGGCCCACGGAACCTCGTCTTTGAAAGCCCCTTGGAGAACGGCCGTGCACGCCCACTCGTTGAAGTCCGGGTCGATGCCCTCGAACTTGAGTGACGGATCCTAAGCTGTGTTAAAATCGCAGTAGCAAGCTGGTTTCTGCCAGTTGTTCTGCTTGGGCAAATCGGCAGCTGCAAGTGAAATCCTGAGGCTCATGAATGCATTCGCGGAGATTTGCTTCTGCAGGAGTGAGAGCTAATGCTGCTCTGAATTCTGCAGGTTTTTGTGCATGGCTTAAGGCAAGAAGCGCAGAAGTGGGAGCTAATGCGCAACCAAGCCACCTTCGAGCCTATCAATAAGCCCTGGTACGGGTGGCCGTTCGCGTAGTCCAGGTGGCGGCCCGAGAACCCAACGATGATGGTCTCCGGGGGCCCGCCCGCTGCGCCGCTGCAGTAGCCGCGAATTGGCGGCACAGGCCTTGGACCTGCAGGCCCGAGACGAGAACCACCTTGCAAGTTCAGCAACTACTAAGCCGCCCGTGCCTCCTCTGCAGTCTTGCCGCGTAAGTCACAGAATGAACTCTGGAGCTCAGCACGGCGATAGGCTCCCTGCTTGCGTTTGCTGCATGACACCCGCTCTACCCAAACACTGAAGCGAACATTGCCACACCTGTTCCCGCACATGTGCTGTGACAGCACCCGTCCCGAAGTCGAGGACCACGTGCGCCATGGGAGCGGATAGGGATGAAGGTGCAAACACAGAAAGTTAGAGAAGAAGCGACTGAGGACACGGGACCGCGCTTGTTTCCTCAAGTGCTCCCATCAGAAGCTTTATGAAGGTGACTGTTTTTCGACCTGCGACAGCCCAAGTCCCAAACTATACAAGCTGCGTGCAAAACTTGCAAGTTATAAGTTCGGTTCGCGTTTCGTGCGAAGCTTTTGAAGCTCTGGAGCTTTAAGCTTCGCCATGCTTCGCATGAAACTTTGAAACACTGAAGCTTTTAGCTTCGCGAGCTTCGCCTGAAGCTTCTGGCTTCCCGAACTTCGTCACCTGAAGCCTGAAGCTTGAAACTCTTGTCTTCGCGCTTCGCCAACTTCGCCTGAAGACTGAAGCCTGCAGTTTCTTTCTTCGCGCTTCGCCTGAAGCTTTCCTTTTGGCTTCGCGAATTTCGCCCGAAGCCTGAAGCTTTTAGCTGCGCGAACTTCGCCTGAAGCCTGACGAAGCTTCTGTCTTCGCGCTTTGCCGTCGCCTCAAGCTTGAAGCTTTTGTCTCCGCGCTTCGCGCTTCAAAAACGAAGAATTTCCGATCGACCCCTTGCTTCGCAGTCAATAAAGCAGAACCGGTAGAGCACATGTCCCAGCAAGTTACTGGTCTGCACAATTTAGGCCGTAGCCACCACAACCTAGAAACTGCTGGCTTGCTTGTGTGGTTCCGGGGGTCTGGCTGGAAATGTATCGCACCTCCGGGAAAAACTCATTGACCAGGAAATGTTCAAGCGTCGGGCCATAATTCTTGACATTTGCTGTGGTGCTGTGGGGCTGTGTTTGGCGCTTGGGGTCGGAATGGCAATAATACTTCCTGTTCCTGTAAGACAAAGTGCCTGTCCGATGCAACTTTGTATGCACATAATGGAGATGTCTCCACTTGAAAGCGGCGGCGAACTCCCAGCAAGCAAAATCCCCCTCAGAAACATCAATCCACTCAGTAGCAGTCTGCGGCGGGCCAACCTGAGTCAGTGGCTTTCAGAGCGCTCACGAAGCCCTAATTACTTGCTTCACTTGAAGCCCCCCCAAAAATGGGCGAAACATAACTGAAGCCCTACAGTAAACCCCAAGCCCTAAGCCTTCAACTGTGAGCCCAAGGTTTAAAGGTTTAAGTCCACGTAATTGCATTCGTCATGAACACTGGCTGCGCTGGTGCTTAACAGGGAACTGAGACGGCAGATGCTTTTCAAGCGGCCGGCCTCATGAACACATTGGGACTACTTTGGCAGGATGGGGAAGATCAGGACCTGGCCGGCCTGGATGGCAAGAAAACCCCACTCCAACCCAGAGCTTTCAAGCAAGGCAAACATCATGCGCAAGCCCCCGGCTGTTGCCAGGGCAGGATGCAGCTCAGGACCTGGGCTGGGGCTTGGGGGGGGGGGGGGTATATGAGGCTTCCTTAGCAGAAGACGCAAAGAGTACCGCTCACCAGAAATAGTTTGAGGCTACAAAGGCCCGCCCCTACACCACACTGAGCCAGACCTGACATTCTGACCTCGAGACAAGAGGAGTCCAGAGGGCCGAGGTCCAAGCCTCCGCAACGCAATCCCGGGGCCCCGGCGCGCCGAGCCACGAAGGTAGTCGAGATTACAGCCCCGGCTGCCTTCTGAGCGAGGCCAGTTCTTCATGAATGTGCGCCAACTCCTTCAGGCTTCAGAGGCCAGGGCCAGAAGAAGACGGATCGGCTTGTCCGTGCCGCTCACGCCTGCGAGACTAAGTGCCGAAGAAAGGGTTTAGGGTTTGCGTTTAAGGTTTCAGGTCTTGGGGTTAGGGTTCGGAGGTTAGCGTTCACAAGAATTGTCTTTCTTTTTAAAGCGTAGGCTTAGGGATGGGTCCATGCTTGGGGTGTAGAGATCAGGTCGTGTAATGAGTATACAGTATTATGCTATCATCTTGGAAGCCTCAGAAGACTCCAACTAGCTGGAGATAGCTGATAGCCCCAGTGCCCCTTTTCTGAATGGCCCATGTTGGGAACTCTGGGCACGCCTGCCAAAGTGGAGAAGTATTCGGTTGGAGCAGAAACTGTACGGAGAACCCTTACTCACGACCTTATGTGCGACGCGATGGCCGAAGTACAGGTCGATGGTGCAATCTCCTTGTGAGGACTACGCTTGGCTTTGGAGCGGCGCACTGGCTTTGATCTCAGCCCCTACAATGACCTCGTTAGATGTGCGGCGAAACAAACTGCAGTTCTTGGTGTCGACCACGGTGATGGAAGTGCAGGGGACTGTATGGATGGAGAGTGCCATGCCCCATCCAGTGGGCATACTATCTGCGGTCATCACTCTGGACAGGTTCTTGCTGTTCTTGCTAGGCCTTCCCAGCAGGAGGCCGCAGGCCGTGGCAGAGTCATGTTTACGCAGATCGCAGATGAGTTGGGTGTTGCTGAGGTCTGGGTTGGAGCTTGGGAACCACTCCCTGCGCAACTCTGGAATAGTCAAGGTGACGAACGGATCGGGAATGCTTCCTGGGAGCTATTCTGCCTCGAGCGCAGTTGTCATCCCGATGGACGCAGGCCGGCAGCTGACGCCTTTGATATCTTGTTCAATGAGACTGGCGCTGGCAAACATGTACCCCACTGTTTGCCTGCGTTCGGGGATGATTTGCGGATGGGTGCTGAGATAGCTGACTCACTCTTTGCTGTATCCCTCCCGGCAGCATCGCAGCAGTTTGACAGAGCCTTGTGTGTAGGCATAAGCGAGATCCAATGGATCCTGGGTGCTTTATCAGGGAACTGCCACACTTGCTGAGGGCAAGCTTTAGCGGGTGTTGTTTTGTCCCTTTTCTTGCTTAGGTTTTGTTGAGGGCTTGCGGTCCTGGGAGACGGTTTTTCGATCTGAGATCGATCGGTTACATCGCCTTGGCTTGTCACCTCATGGACGTACATGTAACCTGTCTGAGTGCATACTGGCCTCAAGCCAGATTTCTGCGCCAAACACCCGACTGTTTTAATTCGTTGCACGTATAGGCTGCCTCTTATGTAGACTCTGTGCCCGAAAAGCGAAAAGCGAAGTTATCATCGGCTGCAAACACATTGGCGAGTGGCGAAGGCACAACAACGCTGTGGTAAAATGGCCGATAAAGATTGGGAAGCTGTCTGGACAGAATCTACACACGAAAAGGCTCGCACGCCGAAACAGGTAATATCTTAAGAAAGCGAACAAAGACGACGATCGGTTATTTCCTCAAAACGGTTCAAGAAACCTCATGCACGAGAAAGTCGCCGTTTCACTGGACCCCGAGACCCTCTGCCACAGGTGCTCGAAAACCATAACGACTGAATGCCAAAATCAATTTCCCTCAATAAACTTAACGGCTTAGGCTGTGCAATTTAGCAGTTTAAGGCTGAGGGTTCCGGCAAAATTGTGACATGATCATATAGGTTGACAGTGGCAGTATGGAGTGGAATCTGCACATAGCCCAGGCACGGAAGGGCTGGGACTCGACCGTGAGCTCGCCACCATACTTTAGGGCCACCTACAGGGCTGTGCAAAGCTATGGCCACCTTTCTTCTGGATCAAGCATTTTTTTCAAGTCGCCCTGGCTTTGCCCCCGGTGCAGCATGACAAGACTGGATGCGCTTTTCAATGCTTGTTTGTCCTGATGCTGGGAAGAGCGGTTGCGGCTTCAGCAGCTCCGCTTACAAAGCGTGACACTGCTCATCACCTGGGGCCAAGCCCATCAGCACAGCGGAGTGCCAGCCAAGAACGACCTTCCCAAGCCGGCGTCCGGCAGTCACTACAAAGGAGTGCTCCGTAGCGAGGCTGTGCAGGCGATCCAGCAAGTGCTTGGCCACCAAGGCCGCACCTTTTGCTTTCGGATCTTCCAGCTGACTGACGTCCGGAAGGCGCTTGCATAGATCCTCCAGCTTTGTGCTCGGATAGATGCCACTTTCTGCCGGGTGCTGCAGAGCGTGCCCTAGCCCAGAGTACAGAACGATCACAGGCACTTGGGAGGCCTGGTTCATGCGAGTGAGGGCTTCGCTCAAGCCGGCCCGCTCAAGAATCCGCATGACCAGTCTCTCGGCAATCTGGTCAGCTAAGTGGGCATCTTCTGCTCCAATCATTCTTGATCCAATTTCGCCGAAGAATGCCTGCGAGACACCGGCTACCTGGACAGAGCCGGCCCCGAGGCCAAGTGCCACTGCAAGCTCACAGCCGGCATGAATTCAGCACAGGCATGCTTGACAGACGCGAGATCCATGAGAGATTCAAACTCCTGCTCGAGGATCCTGGTTGTCACGGTCACCTCTTTGCAACCAAGAACCAGCGAAAAGCTCCCGGAAATGTGAGGTGCACACATTGCATCTTCGTCCAGGGCATCTCGCCAAGACTGGCTCAGGCCAACAAACACCTCGTCGCCTTGAACTTGGAGCTCGGCAAGGGCGGTCTCTAAGCGGGCATCAAAGGCCTCCACGTTGGGCACATCTTCAGGTCGGAGGCAATGATGAAGCGGCTTTTCGATGACAATGCCACTGCTATTGTCAAAGTACATCGCTTTCATCTGATCCGACCCAAGGTCGAGGAGCACCTTGTTGAAGCCAATCATTGCACGAAATTCAAGTTGAAGTCCAAGGGCTCTTCAAGAGGATGTGTGGGCAGAGCCTGCAGAAATGCTTTTGAGCCGCTGGCGAAAGACACAGCGGACATGCTGTGAAGTTCTCATGCCCCGCGACATGCGCCAGTGTGCGCAATGCTGCCAAGAACGCTCACACAGTTGAAAGTCTCACCCTGCCTCGGCACCGTGGCACCAAGTTGTTTGTTGATTCTGCCACGCCGGTGGCAGAGAACGAATGTGCATCTCCAAGGGCGGCTACAAGGCTTTATGACAGCTTGGTCAGCTCATTATTAGGAAGCATACAATGCAGTACGGAGAGCACAAGCAAAGAGGAAGGACGAGCCTGCGCGATGAATGGTAAGAATCTTCAAGCCATCAGTGTGGCAGATTCAGCTGCCTGAAGGTACTGCAGTCGCCAATCTCGAAGCCGGAAAGAGATTTTGAGCAACAATAAACGGCGGGGATACTGCAAGTAGCAAGCCCCCGGCATGTTGACCAACCTCCGAGGTTGCCGACTCTGCAACCTTGATTTGTAAGCTACAAAGAGGGCTCACTGACACAATCGGCAATTCTGGACGAAATGCTGAGGAGGCAGTACTGACTCCCCAATCTTCAACTGCCTACAGTGGATGAAGCCGAAAGCCTTCTGAGTACTGCACGCGGCACAGCGCCTGGAGCAGCTTGTGTCGAAGGACTTCATCAGAAGGGCGGTCGGACAGGTCGAGCCTCGAAAGCGCAACGACGCAAAGCGCGTAGCAAGGTAGCGATGTGACTCTGGGATGGCAACGCTCAGCCTCGCTGGCTCACCAGACTCACGACACTGAGGGCAAGCGAAGTCTTTGGAGTTACGATTGAAATCTCAGCTTGGATGTTCCGGGGCAGAATTGCCGAATTGTCTTGAAAAAACATTCCAGGACGAGATGTCAAAAGGATCGCTGCGCGGCTGCATTACGAAAAGTTTCGTGCGACGTGCCATCATGGACATGCTTATAAAATCTCTTCGGCCGTGTCGCTTCCAGAGATGCCTTCAGGTCTCGAACGGCGGTCTTCAATTCCTCAGTCAGGTACTTACCACCGCGACAAGCGCTGGCAGCTCTGCCGCAGGACAGTGCTTGTCGGGGAAAACTCTGCACGGAACTTGTTTTGGGTTCCCAAAAGGGGACCCAAATTTAGAGAATTACCCATGTGCCTGTCGAGTCTTTGCTTTGGGCTTGAAGTGCCTATGTATGCTTGAAGGCCAAAGGTATAAATACCAACGAGCACATGGACCCTTGGGGAAGATTTAGGACTTACAGTAGAAGCCAGAAAGTTGGAATATCATTATCATAGTCCCTTTAGGGTAAAATATAGGGGATCCTGCCATTATTCCATATTCCAACTTTCTGGAGTTCCCTTTAAGGCCTATACATCCTGCGCATGTCCCTCTTGAGAAATGCACTCTCTCGCAACTTACCCGTACAGTAAACCCCGTAAAGCTGATAAAGGCCAAATAGTGCTCGGGTTTAGGGTTTAGGGTTTAGGGTTTAGGGCCTACCTTAACCCTGAATAACCTACCTTTTTAGGGTTCCCTAATATGATTTCCTTATATAAGTCCTTAAAAAGATAGGTTCTTCAGGGTTAAGGTATACATTACTCTTAAGGATTGAGGCTATGGGGTTTCCAACTTTTCGGCTTCTACTGTATAGATATGAGCCACCCGTGGCTCCTTACAGACCAAGGTTTCCTTCGTTCTGAGGGTCCAGAATGTCGGGTTTTCGGGTTGGGGGTTGTTCAGCAATCGACGTTTGAACAACGCAGCATCTTCTTTGGGAACAAGGGTGCGCTGCTTGTTCTCCATCACTTAGTCAGCTGCCTGTTGCTAGGAAGTTTAAACTGCATGAATTCTCTAAGATCGAATATAGATGCCTCAGTAGTGAGACCAGAATAATGAGTTTTTGGGCTACAAGGACTACTAGTATACTCAGTAACCTAAGAATAAAAAGGCCTCTCTTTTTTGGTATTATAAGGAACCTAGGACTACAAAAAGGGAATAAGGGTACTACTGGGCATCCTAGACTATAAGGATCTGAACAGCATAAGAACTAGTAACACCCTACCTCACCTTAGGCCCTGAACGTCCAAAACAGCTGGAGGATCCGAAGAGTCCCTCAAGCCCGATCCGCTTTCGGGTTTACAGTAGAAGCCCAAAAGTTGGAAACCTCAGAGCCTCCATCCTTAAGAGTAATGTATAGGGAATCCCAGCACTCTTTGGCCTTAATCCAGTTTCCAACTTTATGGGGTTTACTGTAGGTTTGGGGGTTTATGGTTTAGGAGTGAGGGTTTGGGGTCAGGTTTAGGGCTTAGGGCCTGGCGTTTAGGGTTAAGGGTGCATGTACCATCTACTGTATTCGGGGTCCAAGTACGTACAAAAGACGATAACGCACATGCCAGCCTACAGTTGCTATTGCCCCAAACGCTTTGCGAACAATGTGCCCCAAAACGCCTCTAAATCCTAACCCCTAAACCCTGAACCCTAAAACCCTAAACCCTAAAACCCTAAACCCTAAATTCCTAAACCCGAACCCCTATAAAGCCCTGAAGCCCCACAAGCCTTGCGAGCAAGCGCTTCGGGGCAGCAGCTGCAACGCTGGGACCCACTCTGGTATCGGCCCAAATGGCTGCAAGGTTACCCAAAGGCCCCAAAGTAGTTCCTTTTGTAGGGACCCAGAAAAAGGACCTAAACAAAAACCATAAGATTGGGATATCCCAGAATCCCCCTTTTAATTAAGCCAGTAAGATTGGGATATCCCACCCGAAAGTTTATGTTTGGGTGCTTCTTTGGCTCCTGATTTTTGGGGCTCACATTTAGAATTCTATACGGTAATCCCAAAAAGGAACTACTATGGGGCCTATGGTTACCCCAAGGGTCCAAACGACCCAAGAATGAGGTCTCGGTTTTAGGTTCGTAGTTATGTAGGTTAGGATTTTGGAGAGTATATGATTATTGGGTACTTGGACCCTTGGGCTTTGGGGTTTAGGCTTTAGGGTTTTAGGGTTTAGGGCTTTAGGGTTTTAGGGTTTCAGGATTCAGGGTTCTAGGGTAATCAATTGCCCGTGTTGGAGTTCTAAGTAGTATGACTATTACTTACTTCATCCCACCCTAGTTGAAGTCCCATGACTCTCCAGCTAAGGTTGCCTTGGGGAGGCTCCCCGGCGCTTTGAGCTCACAGGTTTTGGAGCTGTGGGAGGCCGGAACCTGTGTTGTATGCAACCCAAACCGATGCAGCAAAGCCAAAACCTTCTAGATCCTACCCACAGGCTCCGATCCTAAATATAAACCAGAAAAAGGAACTACCATGGATGCTATAGCCTAAGCCTGAAACGCCAAACCTTTCAAGTCTCAACTTCGAAACTCAAAACTGGCTGAGTGGGTTCAGGGCTTAGGGGTTTACGGGTTTAGGGGTTAGGGTTTAGGATTTAGGGTCAAGAGCTTGGGGTGCAGCGGTCTAGGGCATACTCCACCCAAACCTGCCAATGTGCCTTGATTACAGATAAGCGTCTGGTTGAGGATTCCATCTCCACTACAAAAACCCCCTACTCTAGTCGTGTAGATGACTTCCAACCCAAAAATCTGGGAGCAGGTTACATGGTATTTTTTGGCAGAGACTCGCCAAAATTCTTTATATCCTCACCCGCGGACCTTTAACCAAAAGCTAAAGCTCTGGATTGCCTGAGCTCGAAACCCTGACTCTTGACCCTCGACAAATAATCTTATCGAACCCGTATTGAACCCTTCTACGACGCTTGCATGCAGGACCCTATTTTTCTAAACCCCCCAACCCCAAACCTTATAATACCCTAAGGGTCCAAGTACCTGATAATCATATATACTCACCAAAATCCTAACCTACATAACTACTATGCTGAAACCGAGTACCTAATAACTGAGTCCTTTGGACCCTTGGGGATATAGCATGTTATGACCCCATTAGTACAACGTAAAACCCTGAAGCGATAGGTCCGATAGGTTTTTGGATCCCCCAAACTAAACCTTAAACCCAAACCCTGCAAAATAGTGTGTTATGACCTCTTTATTATAGGGTAAAAGCCCACTAAAGCAACAGGCTTTTGGAATATGCACTCTTCCACTATGTAGGCTATAAAGCCCATAAAACAGTAGGTTTTTAGACCCACAAGTCATCCTAAACCCTAAACCCTAAACCCTCCTAAGCTCCCCCCAAGCGGCCTCGCTAAACTAAGGCTCGGAAACCTCCCTCTCGGGGAGAGGCTCGCTTGGCCTTGCAGGTTTGGGGCTTAAATTTAGGGCTCAACAACTGAATTTGTTTTTGGGTTTAGGGTTTAGAGTTGTGTTGCGTTCTTGGCCTCGGGGTTTTAGGGCATTTTGGGGATTAAGTTTTAAAGTTTCGTTCTTAGGGCTTACGAGTTTGGGTTTAGGATCTCGCCAGCTCTCTGAGGTGTGCTCGTGCAGGAACCCTCTTCAGGAACACTGCTGCTGCGCGTGGATTGGTCCCTTCGCCGAGGCAATATACAGCCCTAAACCTTCAACCAAATGCCGAAGTTTAGCGGTCCGGAAACCCTGAAGCCGCTTCACACCGAATCCCTGGTTCTGTGTTTAACCCTAAGGCTCAACATAGCCCAAAAGCCTTATATAGTATGGTCTTTGGGTCCAAAAGCCTTAAATATGAGTCCTTAGAGCCTAAGGGTTAGAGTTTAAGATCTGGGTGGCGAGCATAGGGCTGTTGGAGCGGAACACAAGGACCCTAAATCCAAGATGCCATCATGAAGCACCTTAAAAGGTTTCTTCGAGCAGGCTGAAGCCGAGTCATGTAGGCCATATCTATACTTTGTCGATTCTTTCTGCGTTACCTTATAAGCTCCTAAATGCAACTTGCTTTAAACAACAAGGATCTACAAAGGGGACTGTAGGTAAACACAAAGCACCGAACACGACTGAACACCAGCACCCTGTAGTCATAAACACCCTTAGGGGGGTAGGGGGAGGGGGGAGGGGACTATACTTCCTTAAATAGGCCATTTTGAATCCTTATTATCGATATTTAGGCCTCCTACCCCCCTCCCCCCTACCGCCCCCCCCCCGAGACCCAAGAGTAACCTAGGAATACAAAGGGTGCCCTTTTTGCGCTAGAGGGGGTTATAAGAGAACCTAAACCCTGAAAAAGGGAATAAGGGCCTACTCTGGGTCCTAACCCCTTAAGGATCCCTACTTGGAGGATCATGGGACTTAGTAAGTAATGTTATAAGTACCCGAATTGGGGGTTATAAGTAATTATAACTATAGTTACCCTATTTATAACCCCAATTACCAAGTCCCATGATCCTCTAAACCCTCAACCCTTAAGTACCTTTATAGACCCCTTGAGGGAACCCTTTTTAGACCCCTTAAAGGAGCCCTAAACCCTAAATACTAAGTCCCATGATCCTCCAAGTATGATGTAGGCTACAAGACAAGGGCTTCGGGGGCTCACCAGGTGGGCAAAGTAGTCTCGGAGCCTTAACCCACTGGGTCCTATGTACCTTCGAGGGTTTAGGGTTCCTTCAAGGGCGTAGGGTTCCTTCAAGGGTTTAGGGTTCCTTTCAGGGTTCCTTTAAGGGTTCCTTGAAAAGTTTAGGGTTCCTTTAAGGGTTCCTTTAAGGGTTCCGAAGTACCTATACAGTAGAATGTAGGGTTTCCCTATTAGGAGTTACGGTTCTGAATCAGGGAAGGATCCCCCGAAACGGTACATAGGACCCCTTGGCCGTTTAGGTTTTAGGGTTTAGGGTTTAGTTGATGAAGCCCTTGTACAAAACCCCGGTGGCAGTCTGTGTTATCACGTAGGGGCGATATCGGAATCTTACTGTTATCACTTACTTGGGTCTCTGTAGCGGTAGATCCTAAGAACTCAACCCGGGACCCTAAGCAAAGCCTAAGCCCCGGGTGGGGAACTATAGCCCCTTGGAACCTTTAGTTCAACTTACTATTCTCTTGGGTTATCTACGAACACAAAGAAAAGCGAATTTCTAAGGAGACCATAGCCCAAATCCCTGGGCGCACGGCGAGACCGAGGGTGAAACCGAGTCCGGGAAGTCCCGAGGAGGGAGAGCAAAACCTCACCACGAGAAAAATCACACATAGGAAAGGGTTTACGGGAATAGGGGTTTAGGGCTTTGGGAAAAACAGATAAACACGAAGAGGTAAATTTTGCACATATACATACACTTTTAGAGAATGCGAGATATGAACAATCATACGTACATACATACGTACATACATACATGCATACACGTTATATTTGCAAACGTTGGTATAACTCTTCATGCCTGTGTTTATGTACTGTGGACTCTGCTATTTGAATGGGACTGTGAGTGAGTAGAGGGACACATACAAACATACCTACATGCCGACCAACTTACCTACCGACCTACCGACCAACATGCGTACCTGCATGCATGCATACATATGTACACACATATAGACACGGACATACACATCTATCCAGGCATCCATCTGTCCATCCATCCGCCCATTCATGCAAGCATGCACGTATACATGCAGTGCATTACGAGCAGTGCGTCATTCAAGCACGCATTACACAGGAGCATGTGTTACTTTCGAGCATACCTACATACATACCGACACAGTGAAACACCTACCCGCAAAGATTCATCCATCCGTCCATTACGTGCATGCTTGTTGAAACATGATTACGGACATACAAAGAGATACACAAACAGACCGACCGACAGACCGACAGACCGACGGATGGAATGACGGACATGCATACATATATATATATATATATATATGTACTATACAGCTTTACTTGCATGAACTGTGACAGTAGTCTAGGAGTTGCATGATTTGTTCATTGATTCGAAAATGTTTGTTGGAGTTCGGGATGTGGGACTTGAAGGCGAATGTGGGCGCCGAAGCATTGATGAGAGTTCATGCCGGTTAAGGGTTCATGGGTAGCTATAAGTCGAGGTGCCTTCAAGGGTGATATAGAGTTTAGAGATTAAGGTTTCAGGGCAGCTATAAGTAAGAATTGCGGTGAAAAGTAGCTTCCCATCTGTAGCGCTTACGCACTTGAGGCTTCTCTATGAACGTTTACGCAGGATGAAGGGCTCTAATCTAACTTGCGACAAGTAGAATACACCCACAACCCGAAAACCTCTTTGAAGCCATAAACCCAAAACATTAAATCCGAAACCCAATGATGAAGGGGCTTCGGGTTGTACAGAGGCTTGGATCACGGATTACTAGTCCGTTGCTCCTGTGTGGTGTTGGACACAGTTTGGAAGGAATCTTTGGAAACCGTAGACACAGAGACTCCAAATCCCCTTAATTAAGGAATATACCTTAACATATAATAGTAGGAACCCTAATGAGGTTTATGCCCGCGCAGGTCCCGACGCACCTTTTGCGCACAGCCGGGTGGCATGAATCGAGAACTTCCCCCAAGGGTCCGTGTGTCCAAATAGTATACACTTGGGCCTTAAAGTATTCCCTATGTAGGTACATTGGGCCCAGGGTATATGCTATCTGGGTACGTAAACCCTACACCCCCTTTAGTACCTGTATACAACCCTTTAGGTAACTCTCAAAGGAGCCCTGGTAAAGGCCTGAGTGTATAATATTTGGGCACATGGACCCTTGGGGTTGGACGGGTTTTGAAGTCGAGGTGTTGAGGCTCAGGGTTTGGGCTTGACGGCTTATAGGGCTTCTAGGATTTATACCCAAACCGAGAGCCCGAAAGTTTTCAGGACTCTTCCCGATCAAGATAGCGACTGCCAGCATCGTAGTTCCTGGGAGGCTCTTTTCAGGTTCCATGAGGGTTCCTGTCCTTTAAGGGATCTACAAGGGATCCTTCAAGGGATCCTTTAAGCGATCTTTTGGCTTTAGGGTTCCTTTAGAGGGGGTCAAAAGGGTTCCTCTGAAGGGATCTACAAGGGTGCCTTTAGGGGTACTCGGGTTTAGAGTTTGGGGCTCAGAGGTTCTACATTCCTAGTTTGGGGCTCAGAGGTTCTACATTCCTTTAAGGCTGCTACACTGGCTGGTTCTACTGGGTTCTAAAGGATTCTATAAGGGCTTGATACGGTTCTACAAGGTTGCTCCTTGCGATGAGGTTGAGGGTTTAGAAGGTCCTTCTTCGACAAAGACGGCTCCGGGTTTAAGGCTTAGAGGCTTCGTGCCTCAACAACAAAGATGCGGTGTATTCTAAAGCCTGAACCCCAAGCCCTGTTTCTTCCCCCCCGTGGAACCAGAATAATAATAATATTATGTCTCGTATTCTCATGGGCTTTATATGAACAGAAATGAAAAATAGTTCCTGAGGAGACTAATAATACTTTAGGTTTCGCAACGGAACGACCAAGGCTCGGCCAGGATGCCATTGTACCATTCTTCGCCTTCCTGGGGGGCATGGGCTTCTGGCTTCGTCACTCGGCTTAAGTATTTTTTTTTTATCGCTTAAGGGGTTTAGGGGTTAAGGGTTTAAGGGTTCAAGGTTTAGGGTTTAAGGGTTTAGGGCTTTAGGGTATAGGTTCCATTGTAGTTCCTTTCTGTGCTTCATATTTAGGATCCTACAAGGTATATAATCCCAAAATAGAACTACAATGGAGCCTGTGGGTGCCTATTTCCGTGCCCTAAGTGCCCTGTCTTACGCACGGCTCAAGGGAAATAGGGCTAGCAGGTTGTTTATCGATTTAGGGTTTAGGGTTTAGGGGAAAAACGCGAGAACTGCCCATTCGGGAGAGTTCAACCTCCAGTTCGCACCTGTAGTCACGAAAACCCTGTCGACCCAGATGTATAAAAATGCGCATGTGCACGCCTGTAAGCAACTATCTACAGTACCCCAAAGCCAAAACTCTAAACTCGAAACCTCATACTGGATCCTAAACCCTAGAGTCTAGAGCATCTTGAGCCAACTGCTCTTGTACAGACCCGAAGTCCTAGCTCTTTCGGGAGCCTCGCGGATCCAGAACAAGAGTGACGTCTATAATCCCCATTTGGCTGTCTATCGGTACAAACATGACAAGAAATCCCAAGGAGAAGAGCCTGACACCGAAACCCAAAACCCTGAAACGAGACCAGGCACTGCTCCAATAGGATGCCACGTAGTCGAAAGGCGGATGGTGCGTCGACGAGGCAGCGCGCCACGTCGTGCAGCGTTCCCCAGTCTTTCCTCTTCGTGCTCGATTTGTGGGAGTTAGGATTGGGGGACCCTTAGGGCCTTAGGGATATAGACCCTCTCAAGAAGGTCCCTTTTAACCGAGTCAGAAGTAGGGTTTTACTACCTAGGAGTTGGGATTGGAAGAAACTATGAAAAAGCTATGACGAAAATGCATATGCTTGGCCATAGATTTCGTTCTCTTGTGCGTCCTGTCTTTCCTAGCGAGGGGGCTCTACTATGCTGCATCCGAGATGACGAAACTATAAACCTGATAAGCCGCTTCCCTAAACCCATAAACCTTCAAGGGAAAACTTCATCCAAGTTGCTTCTGACGCTTGCTGGTTTCCTCGGCCGGCAAAGGGTCAGAGCAGCTGACCCTAAACCCTAAACCCTAAACCCTCACCCTAAACCCTAAACCCACTTAAGCCCGAAGCCCTGCACTCCGCAGGGTTTGGGGTTGAGGGTTGGGTCTAGGAGTCTTGCCGACTCCCACCCCCTAAGCTGATCTCTGAGTTCTAAACCGCTAAGTCCCTAAATTAAACTGGGGATGCCTGAAAAAGAAGTTGGGTCTAGGAGTCTTGTCGAATCCCATCCCCGATTCTGATCTCTGATTTCTAGACTCCTAAGGCCCTAAATCAAACTGGGGATGCCTGAAAAAGAAGTTGATAAACCCACATCTGTCAAGCCGAAACCCTGTATTACAGCAAAGCCGCTGAACAACAGAAGTACCGATAACAGTCTCAAGGCAAGACAAAACATCCGAGCATTAATCATCATCCTTCATCCCTGTTCCAATTTTATGGACTTACCTTAAACCGGAATAACCTACCTTAGGGTTTAGGGGTTTAGGGGGGTAGGGCTTATAGGGTTTATAGGGTTACAGGGGTTTAGGGTTTAGGAAAAGCCCTAAGCTCCGAACCGTCATACTGGGATGCTTCCATAGCTGGCGCCCTGCACTGCCTATCCCGGCTTTCGGCAAGGCGCTTCGGCTTCGAACGTCGACGAGCAGATCCTTACTCTTGGGATCTTAAGTTGCTTATGATTCGTAGGTTCACGAGTAGTCAGAAGTTTTTCTGCGGAGTTATCTTTGTGGCCTTCATGGATTAATTTTAAGGCTTGTAATTGATTTTTTCAACGTATTAGAGATTGGGGTTGTAGGTTTTGCTTTAATTTCTTCTACAAAAAAGCTGTAAAGCCCATAATCCGTAATTTGGTGTTTCCAATCCGGGCATAGAAATTACGGCGCAACGGAGCCTTGCCGATTCAATTTTGTGGCGGCCTAGCAAACCACATCTTTCGGACACCTTACAACATAGCAAATTGCAGAACCTCACGAAGTATACTGCCTGTATTTTGTGTCCCGTGCCTTTTTGTCCCTGTAGTGGACATGGGGACAGCTGTGCTGGAGCTGCTCTTGAACGTAGAACTACCGTAGAACCTATGCGAAATGTCAGCTCGAATCATGGCTATTTGGGGACAGCCGTACGTATTGAACGACTACGACATACCCCTGCGAGATACATCCTAAGACAACAAAGGAACTACTACATCTAGACTATTCCTTGCTCCGTTACGGCATCATACCCTATAGATCCTCAAGCCTAAACCCGCAACCCCAAAAACTTTAACCCTTAAGCATGGAAAAGTCTATGAATTCCACTATGATAAGAACTTAGGAACCCTTCCATAAGCTGGGACGCCCAAAATGCCAAGGATCTCGATCGCTTCCTCGAGGGCAGTCTTCTCTTGAGCAGCCAGCGAAGAGTGATAGACCACCATGGACGCCTGAGCATTCCAAGGTTTACTGCTCAGGGTTGCGGGGTTAGGCTCAACTTATAGTGGGTTCTGGCACTGACATAGGTCATTGTCAAAATGATGGTCCGTTTTGGGTCCCTAACATCGTACGGCACCTAATGGTTAGGCTACCCAAAAAGGGACCCTGATTGTTTCGGGTTTCAACCATGAAACGATTGTCATAGGAAGCCACAATTTGTTATATTATAGTCAGTTATAATAACTTGTAGTAGATGAGAGTATTTCATATAGTAGGTTATAGTAGGTTCCTGAAGGCAAAACCCTGACCCTGAGCCGCAAACCCTGCGGAAGCACTGTCTGAACCCTCAACCTGCACCGGCCGAAACGAAACGGATATCCCGCATCCAGCATGTCAATGAAGCATGCGGGAGAGGAGGTGAGAGCGGCTGCCCGCAATAAGCCCAAAGCCATACCCGACAATATCGCAGAAGTATTGGCATCGACCGAACCGCCCGATGACAACCCTGGTAAATAGGTCACAAGATCTGAGGCTATCCTCTTGGACTCTAGGGACCCCAAGCACCTCTTAGCTTGGAACTACGGCTTTAGGTCAAGGGCTGTATGGTTTGTCGTGGAACTACGGCTTTAGGTCAAGGGCTGTATGGTTTGTCGTGGAACTACGGCCTTAGGTCAAGGGCTGTATGGTTTCTAGGGGGCTTTGATTGGTCTTTAACGGGCTTTGCTTTTTTGCACGCCACTTTTCTCTCCACCCTGTTACCCTTGGAGAGTAAACCCTAAACCCTAAACCCTAAACCCTAAGTGATGTTCTGTACCCTTTTGGGTTGAAGCCAACGTTGGCTGAGGCTTCGGCCTGGTTGTGAGCGATTTCACGCTGTAGCATAGAAGGCTTGGGGCGGGTGTGGAGTTTTGCTGACAGGAGTTCAGGTGGTTTAGAGGTAGGGTTTCAGTTTCCATGTTTGTAGGAGCCTTTAGAAACCCTAAACCCTATAACCCTAAACCCCAAACCCTAAACCCTAAACCTTATAACCCTAAACCCCAAAACCCTAAACCTAAAACCCTAAACCCTAAACCCCAAAACCCTAAACCCCAAAACCCTATAACCCTAAACCCCAAAACCCTAAACCCCAAAACCCTAAATCCTAAACCCTATAACCCTAAACCTTATAACCCTAAACCCCAAAACCCTATACCTAAAACCCTAAACCCTAAACCCTATAACCCTAAACCCTAAACCTTATAACCCTAAACCCCAAAACCCTAAACCCTATAACCCTAAACCCTATAACCCTAAACCCTATAACCCTAAACCCCAAACCCTAAACCCTAAACCTTATAACCCTAAACCCCAAAACCCTAAACCTAAAACCCTAAACCCTAAACCCTCAAGTCCCCATAAATTGAGCTTGCGTATTACACCGTGCATGGTATTCCATTACATTCTTTTCAAGTTGAAGCAAATACACTTAACATCATATCCTTAGATATGCATAGCCGTTTGCACAAGTTATTGCAATCGAGTTTAAGTAAATTGAATTGATTATTCCGCCACCACCACCACCAATATGCAATCGAGTTTAAGTAAATTGCACCAGCCCGCTGGCTCAGAATGGCCTAGGGACCTAGTCATAGTCAGAATCCTTTCGTTTTGCCGGGGTTGTAACATCCTCTGGTCTCGGCTCGCCACCCGAGTGAGCGAAATCGTAGGACGACCTTGGTTGAAGATTGTTGAGACAAGGGGAAGCTCAGGACAAAAAGCGCAAACTCCATGGTGACATCTGCCCGTCCGCCGACGGTGGAGAGTCGGAACCCAACAGGATCCCAAGACGATCACAACGGAAGGCCAACGTGAAACAAGACAGCTGCCGAGATCCCAACAGAATTGGTGCGCACGATCTTTGTACAAGTAATGCAGCCGTCTATTTGAAGTGTCCCTCTAAAATAGATCGGCCTGCAGCGCACTGACACTTGACTGGTCCTGCACTGCACCACAGTCACCAACAGACCTTCCCGCAACCCCAAAACCCTGAAAAAAAAAACCGTGCTGCAGAAGCAACAAGGGGCAAGAAGGTTGACAACCGTTAGTTTACAGTCAATGAGCACAAACGCTCCAAACCCACGTGAACCGAGAACGAAAAAACAAGCTGTCACGGGCAGGCAGACTACAAGGCTAGCAAGTCCCAAAGATCACAACGCCCCGAACCCAAGGGTAGAAGACATAAAGATCTCAAAGACCTGAACCTCAAACCCGAAACCAGCAGACAAAGTCCCCGACAAGCGAAGCAGTGGCGACCTGAGCAGGAGGGAAGAAACGAGCCAAGGTGCAGGACACAGCCAGGCGGCAAAGGCATGCGAGAAGAAGCACGGCAGCGGGGCACTCTATTTTCAAGGCGACCGCAAAAGAAAGATTGCGAAAGACACATGCATGCCCCTTCGCCTATTTCCTGTACAAAAGAATGGTCACAAAAAGGTGTCCTGCAAGGGGCCAAGGTGATGCATGCGCATCGACACGTGGCTTTGCTTTATCGTGCAAACGAGTGACAACAACGAAGCTCCACAACATGTCAACTGAGGCTCCGACCATATTACCCAAATATTTGAAGGACATACCATTTATGGTTGCTCGCCTGCCCGCACAAATCTGTGCTGTATTGTACCATGGCAGAAACACAATATGCGCCAAGTCTCTTTCTTCCACATATCCGACCATAACGATCGCAAAGTAGAACCTGGCAAAGGAAATTGACGGTGAGAAACCCGAGATGAATCCGAGCGTTGCAAAGCCTTTTGCGCTGATTTTACATCAAAATCGAGTAGGCCAAGGACGTGGTATATTCGCCTAGAAACAAAATGGACGCACGACCTTTGTCCTGCATGGCACGGTCGCAAGCGCTTAGCACTGCATCCCGTACATCCACCGATCCAGCCGCGTCCATGTTGGACAGCACGTCCAACTCACAGGGACCACATAACCTTTGAAGGTGAAAGGGATGCGATGCCAGCGGCTCATAGGCCAGCAGCCCGTCGTCACTTGCTAGATGCATCATCGGGTTCACGGCCGTGCCCAAATGGTGATGGCTGCTGAGAGGACATAAGATCAAACTCGACGGGTAATGTTTGGCCAGCCAACGAAAAGCTTCTAGCTTCCACTCACAGTTATGCATGCCCGATTCTTGCTTGATCTGGTTAGTGGGGTTTTGGTCCGCCAAGACATTGATGTGAGGGCTGCCCCACAAAATCACAGTCGGTGCGCAACCATGACAATGCGTCTCCACCAAGTCCGAAGCGGTGGCGTCCACCCCATCGATGATGTGCAAATGTTTGTAGCACTTTTGCATACGCCCCGTCAAAAGCTTTTGCATTGCTACAGCATCACCTTTCTTTGGAAAACAGAAGTCCGTCACGTAGATATCTACATCGTGTAGAGATGTGAGGGGCAAAGGCAGATCGAGCTTTGACAGCACATGGAGATGGTGGTACAGCACAGCTTTACTTGGACCTTTGTAGCATTCGTCGCAAGTCCACTGTGGCGGTGTTGTTCTCTTTGTCCATTCTGGGTCTGCATGCTGGTATCCACACAACTCCGGCACCAACAACCGAGACGCCACCCGTTGACACACACCACATTGCGGGGTGCGAGGCGGGTACATCACCATCTTCACGTGGGTGGATGGACCTTCTGCTCTTCCCAGCAACCAGAACAGTAGAATCCGCCATCGGTTGATCGAGCCGACAAAGCGTACAGCTGGACGTGGCAACGGTTGCACGCGAAGCATGTGCTATTGCCAAGCTTCCTCTCTTGCCTCCTTCTCGCCCACCAGACCACTGCACTTATGATTGCAAAGATGAGAGGCCGTGCAAACCATCGTCGAATCGCCATCACGTAAAAATCACTGAGGTCGTTACAAAGCTGTGGCCCAGAAAAGACTGCAAACCGGTGCTAGTGACGATTGTGGGATACACTACAGACAGGTCTCACACACAACAGTACGACATTAAGTTAAGCCCTGCCTCGAAGTCATCGTGGATCGCTTCTTCACGGTCTAGTACCTGCGAACATCACTTGCGACAAGTCTCAAGCGACAGCTTCACAAATGAGTCAAAATCCTTCATTGATGGGCCTGCAAAACGCAAAGATAAGAACACTAAGTGCTTAGAGCCAACATTCAGCACAGAGATATTGCAAATGTAATGCGGAACATATATTGACACCGACGCAAAACACAACAAGCGCCATAACAAGTTTTTAAAGCTCTTTGTTCGTACTGCTGACAAAAATCACATGTAAGGATGCCAGAAACGGACGTGCCCACTTGCTGCGGTGAGCCGATAAGCTTTGTACTCTTCGGTCACTGGCAGGTACAAACCGCTCACTCGCCCTGGAAATTGCCAAGAGCGTCCGTGTAAAAGCTTGATCACCTCAGACAACACTTTTTTTGTCAAGTTAATCTCAAATGTTTGGAGTCCCAGACCGTCTCGCCAGCTTGGTTGGTGATGATCTGAGAGCCTCCCACGAATGTGAGCAAACAGCTGTGAAGGCAAACACTGGTCTGCGGGCGTTTAAGTAAATTGCACCAAATATACAAACACCAATACTAATACGAGATTTAGGGTCTAGAATATTGAGCTTCGGGTAACGTTTATGGTTTAAGCCCGAATCTAGGTTCGTCCGGCCAGTTAGCACGCGATGAGAGCAATGACTCTTGTGCAAAAACCATGCATCCGTGGATGCAAAGGCCTCTGCAAACATGAGATCAAGCTTTGAAAGCGACTTGAAGACTTGGCAGTTCGATGATGATTCCAGGGATTGGGCTCCGAACCTTGTAATCTGTCAAAGCTTCGGCCCTAACGAACCCCCACTGCTTGGACTCGTGCCGCTTTTACGACAGTGGGTTTGGTAGAGGCCGTAAAGTGCAGAACAGCATACACACTTGCATAGAAACAGGACAGAGACCTATGCACGCAGGGAGCAGAGGGCCCTTGAAAAGAAATCTGCGGATCTGCAGGAAGCA